CCGCCACCGCCGCCACCGCCGCCGCCGCCCCCCGAGGAGGCTCCGGTGGTCCCGGAGGGCGAGGAAGAGCTGGAATGCCCGCTGTGCCTGGTGCGGCAGCCGGCGGAGAACGCGCCGCGGCTGCTGTCGTGCCCGCACCGGTCGTGCGGGGCCTGCCTGCGGCAGTACCTGCGCATCGAGATCACCGAGTCCCGCGTCAACATCTGCTGCCCCGAGTGCAGCGAGCGCCTCAACCCCGCCGACATCCGCCGCCTGCTCCGCGACTCYCCGCACCTCGTCGCCAAGTACGAGGAGTTCATGCTGCGCCGCTGCCTGGCCGCCGATCCCGACTGCCGCTGGTGCCCGGCTCCCGACTGCGGGTGAGTGCTGGGGACASGCGGGGTGGCGGTGGGGGACTGCCCTTTCCATCCTGGGACAGCCTGGGGAAGGGGGAACCCCTGTCCGCTCCATCGTGGGACAGCTTGGCAGAGGAAAAGCTGCGGTCTCCTTCGGGTGCTGCCCCACCTGTGTGTCCTGGGATGTCTCGGGGAAGGGACATCCCCGCCCTGGAGGGATGCTGGCGGTCCCCAACACGTGCTGGGACAGCTGGGTGAGGTGGGAACACTGTCCCAGTGGGATGCTGCCTGTCCCCAGCAGGTCCTGGGGATGGCATCCCAGCTGGGATGGCCCTGACACCCACTGTCCTGTCCGTCCCTGAYAGCACAAGGAGTCACTCTCAGAGAGGTGCTGCTGCTCATACACTTCTGGTCCTACTTTGTCCCATGAAGAACCCTCGCTGCAAGGGTTCTTTGCTTATCTGCAGCCTTTTCAGGACAACTGATAGACCTTGGGTACCAAAATTAATTCTATCTATCCCTATTATCTCTCTCAAGCACCACGATTTGACCTTGGGCATTGTGAAAACACAGATAAATYGTGTAGGAGTGATACGACTTGAAGGGGGTTTTAGCTGAGCCATCGTTTCCCTAATTTAACAGAAACCTTTTTTTTCTGTACAAATGGGAAGTTTGGAGTTTCCCAGCTGCGTGTTTCAGTGTCAGCCCCGGGGACAGCGCTGCAGCCTCCAGTAGTGGGGAAGAAGGAACCGTAACCAGTCACTTTTTCCCAGTGAGGACGTGTATWCATGGCAGAGGGGAGTGATGTTGACTCACTGTCCGTTGCCCAAGTGAGGAAACGTCTGTCTGTCCAGAAGCCAGCCCAGCCAAGCTTGATGACTGTGTAGTTATGAGTGTGTTGCTTTCATTTTCTCTTCCCTTTTCTTTTAAACGAACTCTGTTTGGTTTCTATTTTGGCCAGGAGCCAGACCTGCCTGGAAAAKGGCTTTGTCGGGGAACTTAAGAGAAGTGCTGTGAAGTTGAGCTACAGCTCAGCTTGGATGGCAATTCTGGGTAGCAAGAACATGAAAGGAAAGTTTGACCTAGTAGTCGGAATGGAAAAGGTGGTGGGAGGATTGTGAAGATTTAATCAGAGCCTTGTAATAGGCATYCTATGCAAATCGGTGAACCTGGCTCGGGTTACCCATTTCACGGCCTCTTGAGCATCCTGTGTGAAGGCTGGTTCCCTCAGAGGGTGAAGTTAACAGCAAACACCACCTTTGCTCCTTTCTGAATCCAAATCGAGCGCAAGATCTTGATATTTCGGGCAGCGCTTAGGGATCAGATCGGGGAGATAGAGCAGGCTGTGCTTCCAGGGAAGGAAAGCCTCTGCCGGTAACCAGCTAGAGCAAATCCAGTTCCTGCTCACCCAATCTCAGCTCCCTGACTGTTGTGATGTTATCTGTGCCCAGGAGAAGGTGTACAAACAGCGACGTCACCCAGGCAGGCTGCTTGGAAGGAGCCAGCTCCAGCACGGCCCGGAGGGCGTTGCCTCTGTGACAGCAACCCCAGCCTGAGCCTGATCCCTTCCTCTGGTAGATTTGGGGCCACACGCGGCTTTTTGAGCTAAATCCTCCTCCCTGGTTAGTCAATGAGCAGCATGAGGTGCTGGCATCCTCCTCGTAGCAAGGAGCGACCCCGGGGCTGTTGGAGATGTTGGAGATGGCTCTGGTGGACCAGCGCTGCCGCTGGTGTGTCTGTAGCTGCTCRAACAAAGGCTGTTGGAATCAGCCCTCCGGCAGGGAGAGGAATTAATCACCCTATTCATTCTTCCCGGCAGAGCTTGTGTGGCTGTGCTTATGTAAAATCAGGGTATGAATTATTTACAGCGGGCTTTCCCCGCTGTAGTAGTACCGGAGTACGGGATGGGGGCACGGCAGAGTGATGCTTGGCACTGAATGTCACCCACCGCTGTCACCCAAACCGGAACTCTCCAACAWCTTTTCAGTGTCAGAGAATCAAGGCATTGCTTTATTCTGGCCAGGATGTGCAATAGAAATTATTTCATCCRCAYATGCAGTGAAAATCCTTTCATCACACCTGGTTCTTTACCAGACTCTTCACGTTTTTATACACCAAAACCCCAAAAGAAATTCACGTTGGTTTGTCTAAAATTACACAGTGCTTAGTATTCGATTTCCTGTTGGTTATTGATCCCTTCGATGCTAATTCGGTCCCCATTCTTTGGTTCTCTTATCGATCTTTTCCCAGACCAGGTGTCTCYGGCCTCACCAGGGGGTGATGTCTGTTAATGTTTGTTTATCTCCTCTGTATCTTCTGGCTCCTCCCAATCTGTCGGTGTTCCGCTCATCAGACCTCACCCTGTCTTTTCAGAGAAACTTAAATTCCCCTCCCCCTAGACAAAGGCGACCAAACCCCTCTCAATTTACAAAAAAAAAAGTGAAAAGTTCTGTAATTTCCACCACCGCGGAGGTGTGCAGGGCTGGGGTRTGGCCTTGGGTGTCACCCCCGCCGAGGTGGTGGCATCAAAGGGCTGCAGGGCTGTGACATCCCCGACCCTGCAATATCCATCCTGTGCCTTCCTCGCATCCTGCAGCATTTCCTAAATGAAAGAGCCTGSCTGTGCTGCCCAGAATGAGGAGGAGGAGGACAACACAACACCAGTGCGTGTTACCATGGAAACCATGGTCAATTGATGCGCCATCAATCTCAAAACAAATCATTTTCTGTGTTTGCAGCTTTGTTTTTTTTTATTCCCCTTGCTACAATCAGGTGGTATTGCTGTCTAGTGTTCGTCACACTGCAGCCTCCCCAAAAGCTTGGGAGAATGACAGAACCTTTAAAGAAAACGGAGCTGTGTGGGCTGAGATCTGTGAATGGGCAGGAGGAGGGAYGGAGGAAACTCGTGGCCATCCGAGCAGGGGGCTGGAAGCAGAGCTGTGCGATTCCTGGGGTCTCAGGAAGACACTCTCTTTGTTTTGTGGGGAAAACTCAGGGAGGAGAACTCAGTTTCCCTATTTGTCTACTGAGATTGAGCTTGGAAATGGCAATTTGAGCCAGCAATGTGTCAGAGGTCAGTGGAACAGGAGAACCACTGTCCATCCACATCCTGCCACATTTATTCTTCAGCAATTCACTTCAAAACCCACTTTCTAGTTGACCTTGACGTGGAGATGTTTTTATTTTTCTCCCCCAATAGACAGTCCTGGAACTTCTTTCCCCACAGCTGTGGGCTCGTGCATGATATTTGTCATTTCAGCTCCAGCGATAAAATATAAATGCTGATGATTTTAATTTCTTCAGTGTTTAAAAAAACCCAACRTTTTGAGTGAGGAGTTAATTTAGARTGTGGSGTTGCTTAATATATTACACTGAGCTMTCCTAGCCTGCTGTTATGGTTTGAAATAGCAGTGTCACAACACAGCTGGGCAAATGAAGCTTTTCTTTTCTGTTTTGCCAAGGGTAGGCTGTAGGGTAGTGGCAGGACGAGGACATTTAATGGGATATTCCTAAGACAAAGTGCACAGGAATGAAGTTTGTCCCTTTCAACCCCCTGGGCCAACTGCATTGTGGAATTATCATATAGAAACACRGAGTGGTTTGGGTTGGAAAGGACKTTAYGTTCATATAGTYATGGGCTGGGACATTTTCTACCAGACCAGRTTATTCTAAACACTTCCAGGGATGGGATTTTCCTGCCTGTCCTCCTGCTGGATGCACAGGTAGGGCTGCAGTCGGCCCTCAGATGTTGTTTCTCGGGCGACGATGCCGTAGCCCGGCAGGATGAAGTCGCTCCAACTCCCACGGGATATGAATCATTGCGGTATGACACACTGAGCGGTTCTCACGCTGCTGCCTCCCAGAAGAAGAGGCAATACAACTCCAGCCTAAATATGAAACCCTAAACAGGAGTTATTCTCTTCTGACCRCTAACAAAAATACTGAGGGTGAGCAACAAAAATACCCTTTTGCCATCTGGGTGTCGCAGGATTGGGGAGACACTTGTGGAATTGCTCATGGCAGTGCCTGTCAGTCAGATTTCTGTAGCAGTGCTTGGTGATGCTGCTCGGACTTCTGTGTACACAGGACACTTCCTTCTGGGAGAGTCACACTGCTATCAAAGTGAGCTGGTTGTACCTGGCACAGTCAATTATTTTACTCCAATTTTGGCTCGTTCCCAAGGCAGGGCATTGTTCTTCATCATTCTTTGGCAAAAGAAGTTCTGTGGAGATCAGCAGGAGCTCCCTTCTTGACACAGCTACACGTGGAACCATTATTCCTCYTTTTTAGAATCACTCAGTTGATAGAAGTGTCCAGGACAACATCAGCTTTTCTACTGGACCACACAGCATCCACCCACAGTTCTGTGCTAAGGAAATGATGGGATGTGTGTGCCTGGAAAGAGCAGCCTGGAAGGAAACAGCAAAGAGTTAGCTGGGCACCCTGGGCCAGACAAACCTTGAGAGTTGGCAGTGAGAACTGCCAGCACTTACTGAGGAGGGAACTCAGGATCTCCAGCTGCCTGCATGAAAGGTCCCTGCCCCGAGTAACCCAATTAGCACCGCTTAATTTCAGGCTCTGCAGTTTGAGCTGCAGGCCTGGAGAGCAGCACAGGAATGTGTCTGTCGTGGAGGCTGCTGCACCAGTGATCAGGAACGGGGTGGGGGAGTGGGCTGGTGGCTGTGGGTGCTAGAGTTGGACAGCCCCAATGAARGAAAGGATCTCACTGGGTAACTCTGTTTTAATTCCCTGTATCTCCCTCCCACAGGTATGCGGTGATCGCCTACGGCTGTGCCAGCTGCCCCAAGCTGACCTGCGAGAGGGACGGCTGCCAGACCGAGTTCTGCTACCACTGCAAGCAGATATGGCACCCCAACCAAACGTGCGACATGGCCCGGCAGCAGCGGGCACAGACCCTGCGTGTACGGACCAAGCACACCTCGGGCCTCAGCTACGGGCAGGAGTCAGGGCCAGGTATGGGTTTGGCCATTTTTCATAAAATATCTCAAATTGGAAAACACTCGTTCGGCTCCAACTGCTTGCCCAGCACAGGGCAGCCCTTAGAGTCACAGCGTGATTTTTGGGTTGGTTGTTTGTGTTGAGAAAGAGGCACCTCTGTACAAACCTCGCTGCCCCACAAACCTCAGTCAGTGCCCTGAGTTTCCCCAGCAGTTGTGAAACTCAGAGTCATTTCCCCTCCTCCTGTGTGTTAGAACACATCTGCTCTCTTCCAACAGCACCAAACAGATCAGTAGGTGAAGATGTGCTTTGGGTCCTTTTGTGTCACGGCAGCTCCCCTCATCCGCCCCAGCTCTGCTTGTGGCTCTTTTGATCTTGGATGTTCTCACTTTTTTGCTGATCTAAACCCTGAACAAGCAGTCACTTTTTTACATTTCAACTTCAATTTTGCCTGGTGCAGTCGTGAAGAGCTGCATTCACAGACAGCTGAGTGTGCTGAGGGAGCTCTGTCTGCTCTGTGCACTCTTAGGTGTTGCTAATGCCAGGTACCAAAAAAATGCCAACCCACAGACTCCTACGCTGCCTGGTAGGAGCTGCTGTGGCTGCCGAGTTTGTGTTCCTTAAAAATAACTCTATTGACTCTGGAAGTGGGCAGTGAGGCCATTTTTTAAAGCCCTGCCCTCCCCCCAAACAAAGCACCCTGTTTTTCCTTCCGTGTGAGGAGTTGAAATGTTAATTCTGGAGCTGATGTGGGTGGTTCTGGGGCGGCCTAGTGATGTGCTGAGGTCCACCATGCCCCAATTTAGAGAACCCTAATAACTGCCAGCACAGATACTGCCCAAACCAGCAGAAAAACCCAATGTGTGACTTCTTCTATCCTGTTAAAGAGATCCCTGCCAGGAAAGGCGCTTAGCCACGGAAAGGGAGGTTTTTTGAGACGGTGGTTTCTCCCCACCCCGCTGTGCTGGATCCAGCCTGGTGATTAATAAGGTGTGAGCCGGGCTCTCACAGCTGGATTTCATCTCACTGAGCTTGGCAGGGGCTGGCAGAGCCCCGAATCACAGCACAGCCATTGCATAACCACCATCAGATGACTCCTGAGTTAARGAAGGGATGAAAACCCCTTATCCTGCTGTGCCCTTAGTGTACAGCTGCAGCTTTAGTCCCCTAAAGGCCGGGTTTGGGGTTTCTCCAGTGCCTGTTCTCCCAGTTGTTGTGTTGTTCTTGGCCTGTGAATCATCTCAGTGGAGCAATTGGGTAATGGCTCCTTGTGCTGGGCAGGTATGACTTGTTCCCCGTGTTTAAGCAGGAATTCTGGAATACGTCCCATTCAAGATTAGAAAAAGCTCTTGAAAGTGGCTCTTGTTCCCTGTCCCTGCAGTTGGGGGGGTCTGTCACATCAGTGTTATCTCCTCTGAGATAAAGACACTCTGTGGTTGGATGTGTTTTTTGTGTTTTTATTTATATATATATTTTTTTTTTTATTTGTTTTCTTTATTGTGGGTAGCCATTTGTGATAACAATGGGGATAAAGGACACGGATTTCTTAGTGCTTCAACAAAACCTTATTTTTGTTTATTTTTAAAAGTTGTGCCTTCTTATACTTTAATTTTTTCGGGTTAAACACTGATTGGTTGTTCTGTGGGGCTACCTGTTTACAAACTTTTTTTACCTGATTCCATTTCTGGTTGGGCAGTGCCGATGAGTTCTATTTATTTATTCACAGTTTGACACAATACAGAGTCCTGTCAATCACAGCAGGCTCTTTCTAAACTGCAACAATGAGCTGCAAAGGTGTTTTGCTGCAGAGAAACAAGGATTTTGATCCATAATGAGGTTCCCTTGGGTGAATCTTCAATCTCACAGCAGAGATCCCAACTGAACCCCGTGTTTCATCACAATTTGACACATGACACTGGGTCCTGTCATGACAGGACTCTTTCTAAATCATGGCAGGCTCTTTCTAAACTGCAACAATGAGCTGCAAATGTGTTCTGCTGCCCAGAGAACGAGGATTTCAGTCTGTAATGAAGTTCCCCTGGGTGATTCTTCACTCTCACAGCAAAGATTCTGACTGAACCCCGTGTTTTGTCACAATTTGACACACGACACAGGGTCCTCTCATGACAGGACTCTTTCTAAATCATGGCAGGCTCTTTCTAAACTGCAACAATGAGCTGCAAATGTGTTCTGCTGCCCAGAGAACGAGGATTTCAGTCTGTAATGAAGTTCCCCTGGGTGATTCTTCACTCTCACAGCAAAGATTCTGACTGAACCCCGTGTTTTGTCACAATTTGACACACGACACAGGGTCCTCTCATGACAGGCTCTTTCTAAACTGCAACAATGAGCTGCAGAGGTGTTCTGCTGCCCAGAAAACAAGAATTTCAGTCTGTAACAAGGTTCCCCTGGGTGATTCTTCACTCTGACAGAGACTGATCCCCGTGTTTCCTCCCCACAGCCGATGACATCAAGCCGTGCCCGCGCTGCAGCGCTTACATCATCAAGATGAACGACGGCAGCTGCAACCACATGACGTGCGCCGTGTGCGGCTGYGAGTTCTGCTGGCTCTGCATGAAGGAGATCTCGGATCTGCATTACCTCAGGTGAGCAGGGCAGCAGCACGTGCCTCTCTCAGGAGGAGAGAGAGGAGGAGTTCGCTGCCCGTGCTGGACTTTCACCCTCCTGTTTCAGCAATCAGCCGGTGAAGTTTTATTGTTTCTGTTCAGAGGCGAACTCTGTTCCCACTTTACATTCAGATGCTCTTCTCACACTGAAAAAAGCTTCTGATGCAATTGCTTTTCAGAGCTCTTGGTGTATTGGATATCAAACATGGACCCAGTAGTGTGATATTCACCTTTTGGGGGAGAAAAGATAGAAAACTTATTTGTGTTGTCTGCTTGCTTCCTGAGTTTTGGCTTTTATTCGTGTGCAAGTTGAATTTGGGGTTGTCAGGAACATCTAGGAATTGCTGGCATGTTAATATAATTGTTTTCTCCTTCCATGAAGCCCCTCTGGCTGTACATTCTGGGGAAAAAAGCCATGGAGTCGTAAAAAGAAGATTCTCTGGCAGCTGGGCACGTTGATCGGAGCTCCTGTCGGCATTTCCCTCATCGCTGGCATTGCCATTCCTGCCATGGTCATTGGCATCCCTGTCTATGTTGGGAGGAAGGTGAGTGAGGGGGGCAGAAGGGTTTGGGCTGATCTCTGTGCTGGAAATTTAGAGCTGATAGCAAGGGTGGGTCTTGCCACAGAACCAAAATTCAGTTTATTAAAACTTCTCTTATCTCCTGGGCTTTGTGTGGGCAGAGTGAAGGTGGTGGCTGATAGCCCTGGTAGGCTCAAGACCTCCYAAATGCATTTTGMWTTTTWTTTTGTGCCTCTGCCTTGAGCCAGGAGCACGCTTTTGAGCTCATCCTGTGATCTTGGGCTCTGAGGGACAGTGGGGAGAAATGACCCATCAGCACTGCACTTGTGGCTGCTTCTTTTCCTYAAACCTCCTACCAGGTCTGGTCTGTGAGGAGATCAGTGCTCAAAAYGAGGTTTTTCAGGGGTTCATGCAGCTGGCAAGGCTGTAAAATCACATTTTCATGTCCTCTGGGTGTCTGGGCTCACCTCACACTTTTTCTCCCATCAGATCCACAGCAGGTATGAGGGGAAGAAAACCTCCAAGCACAAGAGGAACTTGGCCATCACCGGTGGGGTCACCCTGTCTGTCATTGCCTCCCCAGTCATTGCTGCTGTCAGTGTTGGTAAGTGGGTCAGCCCTGTCCCTTCTGCTGGCCCAGTAGCCCCTGAGGGAAGCAGGTAGCCCAGCCCAGTGCCATGGTTGGGTGGCCAGAGGGCAGTTGGCAGAGTGGGGTTGGGTTTGTGGGTGGATTTGGGCACAATGCTGTGTCTCACACCCAGGCTGCACATCCTGAAGTGCTCAAGCTGTCCCAGAGCCAGCCCAGCAGCAGCTGCMTGTGCCACAGCCCCTCGTGGAGTCCGTGACACTCAGATCTGTCTTCTGCCATGGTTTGGTGACTCAGGGTTTGGGGGTTCAATGCTCTTGGGGTTCCCTCACTCAGCACAAAGGGCTCCTCCCCTCTGTCTGCAAAACTCTGAACCAAAACTCATAAGCTTTGGGACCTTTAAAAGCAGCAAAAACACAACTGAGAGAGTCCCTAAAAATCATTTCTGCCTGCCCAACACATCCTTAAGCTCCTGTTAACCCAGCTCATCCCCCTCTCCAGGAATTGGGGTCCCCATCATGCTGGCCTACGTCTACGGAGTTGTGCCAATCTCGCTGTGCCGGGGCGGCGGCTGCGGGGTCAGCACAGCCAATGGAAAGGGCGTGAAAATCGAGTTTGATGAAGATGATGGACCCATCACAGGTAATAATTGGAGGAGGGGAGGTGGTGAAGCAAAATGCTTTTAAAATTAAACGGTCGGGGGTTTTGATGTCTCCCAAATCCGAGACATCGCAGCCGAGCGCTCCCGCTGCCGATCCCACCCCGTGTGTGCTCTCCTCCCYGCAGTGGCCGATGCCTGGAGAGCCCTGAAGAACCCCAGCATTGGAGAGAGCAGCATTGAGGGGCTGACCAGCGTGCTGAGCACCAGTGGCAGCCCCACTGATGGGCTCAGCGTCATGCAGGGCAACTACAGCGAGACCGCCAGCTTCGCCGCCCTGTCCGGGGGCACCCTGAGYGGGGGAGTCCTCTCGGGGAGCAAGGGCAAGTACAGCAGGTAACTGGACCTGGGAAAAGCACAGAGGTTCYCAAGGCCTCTGGGGGTTGAGTGGGTTTATTTTGGGCAGCTTTGCAGGAGTGTGAGTGAAGCTGCCGTGGTCTAGGRGTTGTGTTGTGGTATTTTTATCTGTGTTGTGATGTTTTTAATCTTGGTTTGTTGAGAATAACSAGGTCTAGGAGATCATCCAGGATGATCTGGAGCCACCCAGGGTGGTGAGGCACTGGCACAGATTGCCCAGAGAGGTTTGGGGTCCCCATCCTTGGAGGTGTTCCAAGGCCAGCTTGTCTGGGGCTCTGAGCATCAAAGTGTCCCTGCCCATGGAAGGTTGGAACCAGATGATCTTTAAGGTCCTTTCCAACCCAAACCATTCCACGATTCTGTTCCTGGAGCCAGTGCCAGCCTGGTCCTTGTGAGGAGGACAAATCCCTACTGAGTTCCTTGAGACCACAGAGCTGACACTTTGGGTGAATTTGGAACAGCACAGAGCTCCTGCAYGTCCTGCCTAAAGCTGTTCCAGCCYTCTTCTYCCACCTGGAGGCTTTGATGCTTCCTGTTCTGCAGCAGCCTGCAGCAGGCACCCGTGGCTCTCSGAATCAGGAGCTTGCACCACAGTTTTCCTCCCAAGTCGTTGTGTGAGTCAGTTCTCTGGGTAATCAGAGCCACGTGTTGATCCGACAGCCGGGCTGTAATCACGGCTCGCTGCGAGATCCGTGCAAATCAGCTCTTCACAGGAATTGTGTGAGTCATGGGCGTAAACACCGCTTTACCTTCGTCATGGAAAACAGAATGGATTTGCCTTAAACGGAGCCAAAAATGAGACTGAGCGAGAGCAAGCGCTGGGGTTAAACTGCTGTCATGCTGAGCCGTGCCAGCTCGCAGGGATTCTTGATTTCCTGTGAGGAACATGACTGGTAGATGCTCCTCAGGGGTGTTTCTGAGGAATCCTTATCTCTCCTGCAGGCTGGAAGTGCAGGCAGATGTCCAGAAGGAGATTTTCCCCAAAGATTCGGTCAGTTTGGGGGCCATCAGTGACAACGCCAGCACTCGAGCCATGGCTGGTTCCATCATCAGCTCCTACAACCCCCAGGACAGGTAGGAGGACGGGCAATGCTGAGAAGAGCATTGGTGGTGGTGTCCTGGAAAAATCCACGCTCTGTGGATGGCTGTGTTTGCTCCAGGCTGCTCTCCTGTAACCAGCAAGAGGATCCATCCTTCTCCTGGAAAAGGAGGAGGGCTGGGGACAATTTGGGAGCAGCCTCYGTGYRTGGTGTGRAGGCTGGGGAGGGGGRATCTGCAGCCCAGCACCCTCAGGGGTTGTGCTGGTGTTTTGCCCTGTCCCCATCYCACTCCCTGRACTTCCCTGGAAGCTTCCTGAGGRMAATGGCCACCAAACCAGCTCCTGRGTCACCTTTTGGTGCTGTCACCACCYRCCCTGRCCCCTCTGCTCTGTCCTCTCCCTGCAGCTCCATGTGTGTGGTGTGGAGGCTGGGGAGGGGGGATCTGCAGCCCAGCACCCTCAGGGGCTGTGCTGGAGTTTTGAGGGATCTCTGGAGCTTTTCCAGCTCAGCCTGAGGATGAGCTTGGCTTTATTAGGAGGAGTCAAGGAGAGCTGCGAGTGCTGCTGTTCCCCAGGGCTCAGGGGGTGATGAGCAGCATCTTCCTCTCACTTGGGAGCTGTGACCCTCCCAGCACAGCCATGGGAAGTGCCCAGTTGATCCCAGTAGCTGCTCCCAGTAAGGTGAGGTGCTTGTCTCTGCAGGGAGTGCAATAACATGGAGATCCAGGTGGACATCGAAGCCAAACCCAGCCACTACCAACTGACCAGCGGCAGCAGCACAGAGGACTCCCTGCACGTCCACACCCAGATGGCAGAGAACGAGGAGGAGGAGGAGGAGGAAGAGGAAGAGGAGGAGGAGGATGAGGAAGGCGGCGGTGAGCAGGAGCAGACGTGCAGACACCAAAGCTGTGAGCAAAAGGACTGCATTGCCAGCCAAACATGGGACATCACCCTGGCCCAGCCCGAGAGCATCCGCAGCGACCTGGAGAGCTCGGACAGCCAGTCGGACGACGTGCCGGACATTACCTCGGACGAGTGCGAGTCCCCCCAGTGTCAGACTGCAGCAGGSTGCCCACAAACCCCCCGAAACAGAGGTGCCGAGAGCCCAAGTGCCCACCTGAGCCACTGTGCCCAAGCCGAGGGCTGCCGGCTGGACGAGATGGTCCAGCTGGAATGCATCGAGGCCAGAGTGTGACCTGCTGTCCTGGGGCTGTGGCCCTATTTGGCTTTTATTTGCCATCCTCCAGCCCCGTTTCACCTCGGGGGAGTCGCTGTTTCTTACGTGACAAA